GTCTAGTCGTGTGACCACAGATGGAGCCTGACCATTGGAACTTCGAATCTGGGTCCTAAGTCCCTCTTTTTCAGGTAGCTCATAACTTTGCATGGTTGCTAAGCAACTGGCCATAGGTTCAGGTGTGAAGTGCTCAACATGCGACCGATCTTAGGTCCTTCAGGGTACTGATCACCACCTTTAAAGCACTCCATGGTAGTGGATCTGGATACTTGAGAGACCGCCTTCTGCCGATTACCTCCCTCCGACCGATTAGATCGCACAGACTGGGCCTCCTCCGAATTCCATCTGCCAGTCAATGCCGACTGGCGACTACACGGAGGAGAGCCTTTTCTGTTGCAGCTCCGACCCTGTGGAACGACCTCCCCGTCGAGATTCGTACCCTCACCACCATCCAGACCTTCCGCACAGCCCTTAAGATCTGGCTCTCCCAGCAGGCCTGGGGATAGGTTTCCAATTTACCCGCCCGAGTAAACTGTTTGTTTACTCGGGCGGGTAAATTGACTTGCATTGACTGTTGAATGCAAGTTGTGTTTTACCATTTTATTTTGTTCACTTACTGTTTGTCTTTTGTTATTGCACCCCCTTCCCCATGATTGTAAGCCGCCCTGAGTCCCCTCAGGGAGAAGGGCGGCCTATAAATCTTAATAAAATGTCTCAAAAAAAAATGTCTCTTGACTACGACTGACAGCTCGCACCTATTGGTTAAGATGCCCTAGGTCCTGAAAACGGGCTTTTACAGTGTTATTGGCTGCTCTGTTTGACAGCTCCTGCATAAATAGCTGTCAAGCAGAGTAAGACGCTGAAGTTGAAGTTCTTGTTCTGCTCAATTGCTCAACAGAGCGGCTCCCTGGCACTGGGACAGTCACATGCACTTGCAGCTGTCAAATCCATGCTTATGTCAGCAGCTGTCCTAGTCCAATATAGTGACAGGCTACCCTGACATTAGCATGTGACCCCTCCCCTTATGGATTGGGGGCCGTCTTCAGCCACATCTTCCCCAATGGCTCAGAGGCCCCCATCGCCTTTTACTCCTGGACTCTCTCTGCAATGGAGAGCAACTACAGCCAGATCAACAAGGAGGCTCTGGCTGCAGTTTCTGGGATTAAAAGGTTTCATGAATATCTGTACGCTGCCACTTCACCTTACTCACTGACCATAAGCCTCTCCTTGGGCTTCTGGCCGGTGATCGCCCTACCCTTCCTATCTTGTCACCGCACATATCACGGTGGACGGAATTTATGGTTGCCTACCAATACTTATTGCAATACTGGCCTGGGAAACATCTGGGGCATGCTGATGCCCTCAGACACTGCCCTCTCCCTTTGGAAAGCCACGACTCTGCCCCTGGCCCCGTGGTCTTGTCCATTGAGGACCTTGACCTTCTGATGTTGGTCACAGACATTGCCCATCATTCTAGGATTGACCCTCTCCCAAGTCATTAACTGGGTGCACAGGGGGTGGCCCTTAGACAAGGTACCAGACGAGTTCTGCCCTTACACGGCTCGCCAACTGGAACTCTTGCTCCAGGGTGGATGTCTGCTCTGGGGGATAGGATGGTAGTTTCCTCCACCCTGCTGGCCCAGTTGCTTGATGACCTCCACTTGGGCCACCCAGGCAAAGCTCATATGAAGGCCCTGGGTTGCAGCTATGTCTGGTGGCCCAAGATGGATGGGGCCATCACGACTGGGGAGGAGCGCAACGGGGATGACCTACCTCCATGGTTGACAAGCCACAACTGAGGCGTTCTGGGCAGATTTGGAGGCGCCCCACCTATTTGGCGGATTTGCGCATGCTTGGGGAGAAGATGTGTGAATTCTTCAACTTGCAATCATTCTTAGGTCCTCAACTTATGACCGGCCTCAAGTTACAACTGACAGCTCGGCAACCAAAGGCTCACGCCTATTGGTTAAGATGTGCTGGACTGAAAGCAGGCTTTCACTCCTGTATAAATAACTGTCAAGCAGAGCAAGGTGCTGAAGTTGAAGTTCTTGTTCTGTATGCATGTTCTACAAATAAAAGCTGTAAAAAGTACCTCAGTTGACTCCGATTGGTTGATTTAGTTTTGGTTTTATTGGATTAATATGCCATCCTTCTCCCAAAGGACTCAGGGTGGCATACAACATAAAAACATATATGACAAGTTAGAAAAGATTAAATAGGCAATACAATAACCTTCAATTGACAATTTACGTCAAATTTAGGATTAAATTAAAATTGACAATTAAAATTAATTTATTTTATTCTATTCAGGCCAGGCCGGCTTGCTGAAAAAGCCAATTTTTTAGGGTGTGCCGGGAGGACCTGTGGTCGGGGGTTATGCGAAGCTCCATTCCAAAGGGAAGGCACTCCCACAGAGAAGGCTCTCCCCCTGGGGGTCACCAGTTGACACTCCCTGGCCGACAGCACCCTGACGAGGCCAACACTGTGGGATTGTACTGGACGGTGGGAGGCTACCGGTGGCAGTAGGGAATCTTGCAAGTACCCTGGGCCTAAGCCATGGAAAACAACCGACAACCAGTGCAAGCCGTCTAAAAGGGATGTAACATGGGAGCACCTAGCCCCATGACAACCTGTGCGGCCGCATTCTGGACTGGCTAGAGCCTCCGGGTGCTCTTCAAGGGCAGCCCCATGTAGAGAGCATTACAGTAGTCCAGGTGAGAAAGGACAAGAGAGTTAATGACTGTGCACATGGCATCCTGGTAAAAGGCCCCCCTGGTCACCGCCATAAGATGTTCTTCTAAACTAAGCCACGTATCCAGGAGGATTTCCAGATTGCAGGCCCTCTCTGAGAGGGCTAAAATTTCTCCCCTAGTCATCAAAGATGGTACGTGATGCACAAATCGGGATGACGGGAACCACAGGCATTCAGTCTTGGAGGGATTAAGCTTGAGCCTGTTCGTCCCCACCCAATCCACGCAGCCTCCAGGCACCAGAACATCATGTCGAGGGCATTGTGGGGTGGTTTGGGATAGAGATGAAAAGTTGGGTATCATCAGCGTATTGATGATACTGTACCCTGAAATCACAGATGATCTCGCCCAGTGGTTTCATATATATGTTGAACAGGAGAACTGATCCCTGGGGCACCCCACAAGTGAGGCGCCTCAGGGTCGATCTCTGCCCTCCAGTCAACACAAACTCTGATCGATCCAAGAGGTAGGAGGAGAACCACCGCAAAACACTGCCCCCACTCCCAACCCCCCGAGTCGTCACAATAGTATACCATGGTTGATGGTATTGAAAGCCGCCAAGAGGTTTAATAGGACCAGGACAGAGGAACAACCCCTGTCCCGAGATCATCAACCAATGTGACCAATGCCGTCTCTGTTCTGTACTCGGGCCTGAAGCCCAACTGAAACGGATCCAGGTAGGCAGCTTCATCCAGGTACTGGGGAAGTTGATGTGCTACTGCACTCTCAACAACCTTTGCTACAAAGTGGAGGTTGGAGGCTAAAGAAGCTGGGTGCAGGGAAGGCTTCTTAAGGAGGGACCTCACAACTGCCTCCTTCAAGGCAGTGGGAAAGAACCCCTCTCTCAATGAAGCGTTGGTAATTTCCTGGAGCCAGCTTCATGTCACCTCCTGGAAAGCAGAAACTAACCAGGAGGGACACAGGTCCAGCACACAAGTGGCAGCACTGAGTCCTGTCCACGCCCTCAGGAGTCATAGGATCAAACTCATCCCAGATAGTCTCCACAAGATTAATCCCCATCAACTCTCACAAATCTACCCAGTCAGAGTCCAAGCCTGTCCGAATCTGAGCAATTTTGTCCTGCAGATACTGAGCTAATTCCTCAGCCCTGCCCTGCAAGCAGTCTTCCCCGATGCCTATGTTTTATCCAGTTTTCAATATCAGGACTTTTTGTACAGAAGTGTGAAAAAGAATAGATAGATCAAGCACAAAAGAGTTTCCTTTTCTTCAAATCTGCTACATGTAAACACTTTTTTCCCAGCGAGGTGATTTCTAGAATTACAAGGTTTAGAATTGCTGAAGCTTTCAGCATTCACAAGCATTGAAGAGCTGTGTTGGTTGGGAATCCTGCAAATGGTGAGCCACATTTGGAGGGCATCAGAAGGGGAGAGTTAATCTAGTACAATTTCTGAATCAGGAACACAATCCATTGTCATCTCCCATGGTGAACTTCCTTCCTTCCCCTTGTTGAACTCAGTGCTTTCTCGGTGCTTTGCTTTCTCTATTTCCTTTTTATCCTGTGGTTATTCATGAATGAACAAAATTTGAGCACCAAGACTGAAACAAAGCCTACTAATTTTCTCAGGAACCAAAGAAACATCCTGGTGATGCTGCAACTGGACCAAGAGGGACATGCTAAGATTGTTTACTTACTTACTTACTTTTTGATTTTGGGATGTATTTAAGAGGGAGAATGTGGAAACGAGGATTTCCAGAAACAAAATCCAAATAATTTTAGTGGTGAAATTTTGGCAGTATGAACTTGGGATGGTTTCTGCTCTTTGGAACAATTTCCCCTTCTCCCTATATATGACACCCCAAACGCTTCTCGCCTTTAAAACATGCTTAACATTTGGCTTTTCCCCCAAGCATTAGGGGTCAAGTTGAGCGGGTGCCTCTCCTGTGAGTGGTTGAATGCTTGGTCACATTTTATATTTATATATTCTTGACTTAGTAATTAGGCTTTTTCTTTTTGATTTACTGTGTTTATGTTGAATGGCACCTTTGAGCTGTCTTATAAATTTATGAATGAATGAATGGATGGATGGATGGATGAATGACAGAGGGCTGCTTGCTGTATGTCATCTGCACAATATAGACCAAGATTCTGGAGAGTATTCTGCCTAAATAGTGAGATGTGCAGCATATAAATTTACTAAATAAATAAATAAAAATCTCCATTTAAAAGGTACAAAAGTATTTTGTGCAATTTCTAGGACCTACTGTATTTAAAAAGCAATTCTCTTGCTGAATCTTTTCCAAATGTCTGCTCACGGTAATTAATTAAAATACATGTTTGTTTTTTAGGTTTTCTATGTTTGGGTGAAAGCAATTTATACCCTCGGACACAGTGTTTCTCTCATTGCTCTGATCACAGGAAGCATCATTCTTTGCGTTTTCAGGTAAGTTTGTTGAAACCTGGCAGGGACTAAGTATTTTGGAACAGTGGCAGAATAGGAGAAGGTAATGTTCTCATTCGTCATTTAACAGGTCCGTTATTTTACATTTTAAATAAAGCCTCCTTTGATTTGAAGGACATGACCATGTGGTTATCTTGGCCACCATATGGAAATTGTTTATTGTTGCCTTCTGGGGTATTTTTGGACTCTACATTTCTGGGATCTTCATCCAAAGTCTAAATAGGTTGGATGCTGTCTAGGAAAGCTGATCCAGTTGTTGAGATTTTTCTTTTGTTCAGATGGGTTTAATTGCAACCATTTAATTAAAATAATAAATGGAAAGCAGCTGGTTTGGTGCAGACCAAAGTGCCATTCTGTAGTATCACCTATATTTGTAAAAATCCTTTCGGAATCCAGACAAGCCCTCTAGATATATAGATGAATACAATCCTATGCTTTGCCAGCCCTCTGGAGCATGCAATCAGTCCAGCAAGGAGGCCCAGCTGCTGAGGAAAATAGGTGAGTGGGTGGGGAGATCTAAAGGAGGTGATGTGGGACAACCTTATTGAATTGCCTTCTGAAGAAGAGTTGTTTTGAGACTGGCTGTTTTCGTCAACTCGGCCATTTCCCAAATGGGCAGAGCTTTCCCTCGGCAGCCATTTTTATGTGAGTAGTACCAACATCATTTCAAAATTCCTAATGTATCCAGGGCCTAAAATGGATTTAGATCAGCAGCAACCATAGAAGATTTGTTTCATTAAATAACAGGGCTGATTAGTGAACCTAATTTTAACTGGGCAGTGTTGTACTACAGAAAGCTTGTGAGCTCAGGGGAAAGTTCCAGAGAAGATTGCTAAAGATAATTGTTGGAAGAGCAAGGCTCGTACAATGAAAGACAGGTTGCACTGCGGGACCTCTGCCCCCCCTCCCCCCCGCACCTTGCAAAAAACCTCCCCAGGGCCAATGAATTCAGAAGATGTTCTACCAGTCAGAGTCATGAAAAAAGGCAGTGCCAGTCATATGAAAAAATGGGCAGTAAATATTTAGTCCTTTCTTTATCATATCTTTAGGATGTAAATAAAGAAAAGAGTAATTAGAAATTGCCATACATACTTATATGATAGAGCAATAATATTAATAATATAATAATAATATAATATAACCAATAATAGGTTGCAAATATACACAGTTAAAAAAACTCAAGACTATATTTCATAATAGGAAAAAGTTATCTCTGTAAAAAGGCAGTTTAAAAGAAATGAGTGCTGAAATGCAGTTATCTAGTTTCGTGGCACCGGTGGCACGCAGAGCTCTCTCTCTCTGCGGGCACGCAAGCCATCGTCCCAGCTCAGCTCCACTGCGCATGCGCGTGCACCTCCCACCGGCCAGCTGACTTTCAGGTCTCTGCCCTGAATGCGCAGGGGAATGGGTACATGTGGGAGACACACATGCATGCGCAGGGGGCGGGGAGGGTCATGCACGCATGCGCATGTGGCACCCCCCATGGCCCGTTTTTGGTCCCATGTGGCTTCAGGGAGGCCTGCTAGGCCCAAAACATGGCATGGGGGGGTGTCACACGCGCAGGGGGGTTTGGTGTGTTTGTGTGTGTCACACATGCATTACATTATGCTTTCGGCATGTGACGACACAAATCACTGATCTAGTTGTAAAATTAGGTTTTCCCTTTCATGTAAAGGGTGTTCTTCTCCTGTGAAGAACATTCAAGTATTTGCCAAAAATATGTACCACTCAATAGGGTCCCCCAAGACATGAAGGTAATCTTAGCTGCCTGGCTAAGCCAACATATTTGGCAACAATAATATAAGAAGATGCTAAAGATGGGTTATCACTTTAGTAACAATGGCAAAGGCATCATTTCATACTGCATAGAGGAAAACAATATAAACCACTCATGTTTTTTGATCAACTAGACCACGTGGATAAGTAACAATGGGATATTTTTAGGAAAATTAGTATTTGTATTTTGTATTTATTTGTATTTAAGTTTATTTATATGCCGCCCTTTTCCCTGGGGGGACTCAGGGCAGCTTACAACTTAAAAAAAGGGGGGGGGAGACAAACTTTTAACATATAGAACAATACATCATTAAAACACAACATTCATACCATTCGGGCGGGTTGCTGTAACCCGCCCGAATGGT